GTTCTGTCAGTCAACCGTCCACACGATTGTTGAGATGTCTCACCTTGACTACTACTCACGTTGAACGGCACCTTTCTTTTTCAGCACATTCTAACCAGCTAAGCTCATAGCTCCGCAGAATTCCACCGAAGCATATTACGGTGGAGTATGCATATTACGGTGGAGTATGCTTCAGTTGAATTCCACCGAAGCATATTACGGTTGAGTATGCTATATTACGGTGGAGTATGCTTCAGTTGAATTCTATGGAACTCTGTCGGAATCCTTGGATAGTGCCGCTTTTCCTTCCTTTCATCAAATTGCTGTACTGGCTTTAAATAAACGTCCTGATATATAACTGCAACTTAAGGACCTATACAGTATACACCAAAATAGAGTTTAGTGTTATCCAGCCCAAATGGAACTATTTCTGTGTTTTTGCCATTATTTCAAACCAGGAAATGCTCAATTGCAAAAAAATTGTTGATTTTGGAAATGATGCTCAAGATGGTCATTTGGGCGAGACGACATTAAACCTTTAAACCCTGTTTTAGTGTATATAAGTCCTTTAACTAGACAATCTTTACTGATAAGACGGATAATGAGCTCTTGTAAACAGTATCATTACTTATCATTACTTATCATTACTTATCATTTTTACTGATTATATAATATGCAAGGATAATTACATCTCATTTTGCATATTACATTAATTTATTATCATGCAATTAACAGACTGAGAAGACTGGTTATCACAGCCAGTGTAGTGATTTGCCATTAGTAGGGTAGTGCTCCTCAATCATTAGCAATAGGAAACCGGTTATAGTTGTCTTCAAATGATTTGCTTCTCGACAGTAGTATAGTAGTACAGTAGGAGGGATTGCGGTTTGCTTTATTCAATAGAATTTAGAATAACACGGAACTTTGCTGATTTCCCTAATTTTGTAGGTCTCTTTCTTAACGTATACCAATTGTGCATTCGAACTGATTTTTTTTCGTCATTGAATGATTAAGAAAACAGCAGGATGGAAACGAAGAATAGATTTCTAAGGACAATGTCGCTGCCCAGCAATTTGAGACCTCCAGGTCTAAAAATTTCGAATAAAATAGCTTTGACAACATTGATGAAGGAGTAATGATGGGGGGGGGGGGGGGGGGGATGGATTCTCAGAAAGAAGGAGTAATTTCTGAGCTGATTAAAAATGCCATACAGTTAACACATTCCGTCTCCTTCAGAGTTGACGAAGAAGTATCTGGAGGTTAGCAAGACAGTTTCTGACTCACAAATACCAGACCTCGCTACCAGAGAACAGTACAACCAGAAGTGAGTATAACTTTCTGAAAATCGTACACAATCTTACACAATCTTACACAATCTTACACAATCTTACACAATCTTACACAATCTTACACAATCTTACACAATCTTACACAATCTTACACAATCTTACACAATCTTACACAATCTTACACAATCATTGTTTGTAGCAACTTCTGGTACGTTCACGTCAGTTGGTGTTTTCATCGCTATTGTCCTGCCTCAAATTTAACACCGAGATTCTTAGATTTAAACGTAGAGTTATAATGTGTCGCTCGCGCTCCCGCTCGAAATGGTATTTTGTAAGATTTTCTTGAAGTTACTTGTTTGTGCATCAAATGGCGACAAGCTCAAAATCTTTTTGAAAGTTTAATCCCCCCTTAACCCCCCGCCCCCCCCCCCAGTCCCCACCTTAATCCCCCTTAACCCCCCGCCCCCCCAGTCCCCACCTTAATCCCCCCTTAACCCCCCGCCCCCCCCCCCCCCCCCCCCAGTCCCCACCTTAATCCCCCAACTACACAATAGTAATACAAGTAGCATGTTCTGTTCATATGAGTTTTATTTGTCTTTGACATTGTGTTTTCAATTTAATATATAATAACTCTTCGATGATTAAACATTTTTTCGGATTTGCTTCATCAAAACATTTTGTCCTCCACCTTGTTATAATGAATGTATAATTATCTGATAAATGTACTATTATCTGATAAATGTATAATTATCTGATAAATGTACTATTATCTGATAAATGTATAATTATCTGATAACGAATCCAGGAACCTAAAGTCTCAGAAGCACGTTAGAGAACTGCAGAATAAACTGAAGAAGTTGGAGGAGAGGAAGAAGAAGATCCGAGTGAGTTCTAACTACTACTGGGGGGGGGGGGGGGGGGGGTACCGAGTAAGTTCTAACTACTACTGGGGGGGGGGGGGGGGGGGGGGGTACCGGTAACCTACTATCCGAGTGAGTTCTAACTACTACTGGGGGGGGGGGGGGGGGGGGGGTACCGGTAACCTACTATCCGAGTGAGTTCTAACTACTACTGGGGGGGGGGGGGGGTACCGGTAACCTACTATCCGAGTGAGTTCTAACTACTACTGGGGGGGGGGGGTACCGGTAACCTACTATCCGAGTGAGTTCTAACTACTACTGGGGGGGGGGGGGTACCGAGTGAGTTCTAACTACTACTGGGGGGGGGGGGGGGTACCGGTAACCTACTATCCGAGTGAGTTCTAACTACTACTGGGGGGGGGGGGGTACCGGTAACCTACTACTACTACTAGATCTACTAAAGATCTAACTCTTAAGTAACTAACTAGTAGCTCTTAAGTAAGTTGTCACAGTAACTTGTATTAAATAAAGTAAATGTAACTGTTAGTCCCTCTCAGGAACAGGAACTTGTATTAAATAAAGTAAATGTAACTGTTAATCCCTCTCAGGAACAGGAACTTGTATTAAATAAAGTAAATGTAACTGTTAGTCCCTCTCAGGAACAGTAACTTGTATTAAATAAAGTAAATGTAACTGTTAATCCCTCTCAGGAACAGTAACTTGTATTAAATAAAGTAAATGTAACTGTTAATCCCTCTCAGGAACAGGAACTGATGAACAATGGTTACGTACAAGTGGACCCACAAGACACTACCCACAGTACTATGGGACATGAGACTCTGGACGGGAAACGTACTCCTGACCAGAGCAAGAAATCAGGAGTTATTCACCGGGCTTATGAGAAGTAAGTTTTATTAAGTTGTAATTTGGACATATTGTGATAGGGGGGGGGGGGGAGAAGATTGGTTAACAACAGTGTGTTGAAGACACTAGAATCACGTGTAATTAAAGTGTTCATTAGAGGGTGATAATACAATAAACCCTGATTAACCGCGGAGTTTGAGGAAAGGAAACATCCGCGGTAAATCGGGGCGCATTATAATTATATCGGGGTTTTACTGTATTGTGAACTGTTTCAAAGTGTAACCAGGGTGTTCCACCACGAAATGCCTCACTTCAACTCCCCCGGTATCACAATACACCCTCCAAAACTGGACGGCCTCTTCTTCAGTGCAAATGAGTGAGTTAGTGTGGCTATTATATAGTACAGTCACGAAAAGCTAAAAATTGTGAGAGTTACACTAAAAACTCGAAGGCCAGCTTTTCGTGGCTGTGGTATAATTTTGTAACACTTCGTTTTTTTATTGCACGTGTGATTATGACTTGGAGAATGTTCTCCCTGTACTCCAGTAGCAGGGGTTGAGTGTGCACTCCTCCCTGCTTTAAAGCTTTGAATCTGACTCAGCTGCCGTTTGTGAATGCCCTCTCTTGAGTTGTCAAATTTATGCTTGGTTTTCATTAAAATTTCTCACATTTTTGCCTGTTTTTCCATTAAAATCAGTTATTTTGGTGCATTTATGTAAATTTATAAAATTAGTCTGGATAAATTAGTCTGTGACTGGTGATGGTGTGTACTGAAAACTACCATCAATGTACAGCACATTGCATGGGATATTGTTGTGGTCTGAAGCTTTAACCATCTAATTAATTATGCGACTCGTACATTTCTAGTCTCTGTAACCTCTCTATACCGAGTACATTTCTAGTCTCTGTAACCTCTCTATACCGAGTACCTTTCTAGTCTCTGTAACCTCTCTATACCGAGTACATTTCTAGTCTCTGTAACCTCTCTATACCGAGTACATTTCTAATCTCTGTAACCTCTCTATACCAAGTACATTTCTAGTCTCTGTAACCTCTCTATACCGAGTACATTTCTAGTCTCTGTAACCTCTCTATACCGAGTACATTTCTAGTCTCTGTAACCTCTCTATACCGAGTACATTTCTAGTCTCTGAAACCTCTCTACACCGGGTACATTTCTAGTCTCTGTAACCTCTCTATACCGAGTACATTTCTAGTCTCTGTAACCTCTCTATACCGAGTACATTTCTAGTCTCTGTAACCTCTCTATACCGAGTACATTTCTAGTCTCTGTAACCTCTCTATACCGAGTACATTTCTAGTCTCTGTAACCTCTCTATACCGAGTACCTTTCTAGTATCTGTAACCTCTCTATACCGAGTACATTTCTAGTCTCTGTAACCTCTCTATACCGAGTACATTTCTAGTCTCTGTAACCTCTCTATACCGAGTACATTTCTAGTCTCTGTAACCTCTCTATACCGAGTACCTTTCTAGTATCTGTAACCTCTCTATACCGAGTACATTTCTAGTCTCTGTAACCTCTCTATACCGAGTACCTTTCTAGTCTCTGTAACTTCTCTATACCGAGTACCTTTCTAGTCTCTGTAACCTCTCTATACCGAGTACATTTCTAGTCTCTGTAACCTCTCTATACCGGGTACCTTTCTAGTCTCTGTAACCTCTCTATACTGAGTACATTTCTAGTCTCTGTAACCTCTCTATACCGAGTACATTTCTAGTCTCTGTAACCTCTCTATACCGAGTACATTTCTAGTCTCTGTAACCTCTCTATACCGAGTACATTTCTAGTCTCTGTAACCTCTCTATACCGAGTACATTTCTAGTCTCTGTAACCTCTCTATACCGAGTACATTTCTAGTCTCTGTAACCTCTCTATACCGAGTACCTTTCTAGTCTCTGTAACCTCTCTATACCGAGTACATTTCTAGTCTCTGTAACCTCTCTATACCGAGTACATTTCTAGTCTCTGTAACCTCTCTATACCGAGTACATTTCTAGTCTCTGTAACCTCTCTATACCGAGTACATTTCTAGTCTCTGTAACCTCTCTATACCGAGTACCTTTCTAGTCTCTGTAACCTCTCTATACCGAGTACATTTCTAGTCTCTGTAACCTCTCTATACCGAGTACATTCTAGTCTTTGTAACCTCTCTATACCGAGTACATTTCTAGTCTCTGTAACCTCTCTATACCGAGTACATTTCTAATCTCTGTAACCTCTCTATACCGAGTACATTTCTAGTCTCTGTAACCTCTCTATACCGAGTACATTTCTAGTCTCTGTAACCTCTCTATACCGAGTACCTTTCTAGTCTCTGTAACCTCTCTATACCGAGTACATTTCTAGTCTCTGTAACCTCTCTATACCGAGTACCTTTCTAGTCTCTGTAACCTCTCTATACCGAGTACATTTCTAGTCTCTGTAACCTCTCTATACCGAGTACATATCTAGTCTCTGTAACCTCTCTATACCGAGTACATTTCTAGTCTCTGTAACCTCTCTATACCGAGTAAATTTCTAGTCTCTGTAACCTCTCTATACTGGGTACCTTTCTAGTCTCTGTAACCTCTCTATACCGAGTACATTTCTAGTCTCTGTAACCTCTCTATACCGAGTACATTTCTAGTCTCTGTAACCTCTCTATACCGAGTACATTTCTAGTCTCTGTAACCTCTCTATACTGGGTACCTTTCTAGTCTCTGTAACCTCTCTATACCAAGTACCTTTCTAGTCTCTGTAACCTCTCTATACCGAGTACATTTCTAGTCTCTGTAACCTCTCTATACCGAGTACATTTCTAGTCTCTGTAACCTCTCTATACCGAGTACATTTCTAGTCTCTGTAACCTTTCTATACCGAGTACATTTCTAGTCTCTGTAACCTCTCTATACCGAGTACCTTTCTAGTCTCTGTAACCTCTCTATACTGGGTACCTTTCTAGTCTCTGTAACCTCTCTATACCAAGTACCTTTCTAGTCTCTGTAACCTCTCTATACCGAGTACATTTCTAGTCTCTGTAACCTCTCTATACCGAGTACATTTCTAGTCTCTGTAACCTCTCTATACCGAGTACATTTCTAGTCTCTGAAACCTCTCTACACCGGGTACATTTCTAGTCTCTGTAACCTCTCTATACCGGGTACATTTCTAATCTCTGTAACCTCTCTATACCGAGTACATTTCTAATCTCTGTAACCTCTCTATACCGAGTACATTTCTAGTCTCTGTAACCTCTCTATACCGAGTACCTTTCTAGTCTCTGTAACCTCTCTATACCGAGTACATTTCTAGTCTCTGTAACCTCTCTATACCGAGTACATTTCTAGTCTCTGTAACCTCTCTATACCGAGTACATTTCTAATCTCTGTAACCTCTCTATACCGAGTACATTTCTAGTCTCTGTAACCTCTCTATACCGAGTACATTTCTAGTCTCTGAAACCTCTCTACACCGGGTACATTTCTAGTCTCTGTAACCTCTCTATACCGGGTACATTTCTAATCTCTGTAACCTCTCTATACCTCGTACATTTCTAGTCTCTGTAACCTCTCTATACCGAGTACATTTCTAGTCTCTGTAACCTCTCTATACCGAGTACATTTCTAGTCTCTGTAACCTCTCTATACCGAGTACATTTCTAGTCTCTGTAACCTTCTCTATACCGAGTACATTTCTAGTCTCTGTAACCTCTCTATACCGAGTACATTTCTAGTCTCTGTAACCTTTCTATACCGAGTACATTTCTAGTCTCTGTAACCTCTCTATACCGAGTACATTTCTAGTCTCTGTAACCTCTCTATACCGAGTACATTTCTAGTCTCTGTAACCTCTCTATACCGAGTACATTTCTAGTCTCTGTAACCTTTTTATACCGAGTACATTTCTAGTCTCTGTAACCTTTCTATACCGAGTACATTTCTAGTCTCTGTAACCTCTCTATACCGAGTACCTTTCTAGTCTCTGTAACCTCTCTATACCGAGTACATTTCTAGTCTCTGTAACCTCTCTATACCGAGTACATTTCTAGTCTCTGTAACCTCTCTATACCGAGTACATTTCTAATCTCTGTAACCTCTCTATACCGAGTACATTTCTAGTCTCTGTAACCTCTCTATACCGAGTACATTTCTAGTCTCTGTAACCTCTCTATACCGAGTACATTTCTAGTCTCTGTAACCTCTCTATACCGAGTACCTTTCTAGTCTCTGTAACCTCTCTATACCGAGTACATTTCTAGTCTCTGTAACCTCTCTATACCGAGTACCTTTCTAGTCTCTGTAACCTCTCTATACCGAGTACATTTCTAGTCTCTGTAACCTCTCTATACCTCGTACATTTCTAGTCTCTGTAACCTCTCTATACCGAGTACATTTCTAGTCTCTGTAACCTCTCTATACCGAGTACATTTCTAGTCTCTGTAACCTCTCTATACCGAGTACATTTCTAGTATCTGTAACCTCTCTATACCGAGTACATTTCTAGTCTCTGTAACCTCTCTATACCGAGTACATTTCTAGTCTCTGTAACCTCTCTATACCGAGTACATTTCTAGTCTCTGTAACCTCTCTATACCGAGTACATTTCTAGTCTCTGAAACCTCTCTACACCGGGTACATTTCTAGTCTCTGTAACCTCTCTATACCGGGTACATTTCTAATCTCTGTAACCTCTCTATACCGAGTACATTTCTAATCTCTGTAACCTCTCTATACCGAGTACATTTCTAGTCTCTGTAACCTCTCTATACCGAGTACATATCTAGTCTCTGTAACCTCTCTATACCGAGTACATTTCTAGTCTCTGTAACCTCTCTATACCGAGTACATTTCTAGTCTCTGTAACCTCTCTATACCGAGTACATTTCTAATCTCTGTAACCTCTCTATACCGAGTACATTTCTAGTCTCTGTAACCTCTCTATACCGAGTACATTTCTAGTCTCTGTAACCTCTCTCTACCGAGTACATTTCTAGTCTCTGTAACCTCTCTATACCGAGTACATTTCTAG